AGGGCCTGCCCGGAAGATCTCAAAGTCCTAGTGGGTTCATAGGCAGAGATGCGATCGGATAGGTAACTTGGGCCGGAACCGTTTAGGGCTTTATAGGCCAACGCCAGCACTTTGAATTGAGCCTGGTAGCAAATTGGTAGCCAGTGGAGCTGGCGCAACAGAGGGGTTGTATGCTCCCTGCGCGCCGCTCCTGTTAGTATCATGGCTGCCGAACGTTGGACTAGTTGAAGCTTCCGAGTCGTCTTCAAAGGCAACCCCACGTAGAGAGCGTTGCAGTAGTCTAATCGGGATGTAACCAGAGTGTGGACTACCGTGGCCAAGTCAGACTTCCCAAGGTACGGGCGCAGCTGGCGCACAAGCTTTAACTGTGCAAATGCTCCCCTGGTCACCGCTGAAACCTGGGGTTCCAGGCTCAGTGATGAGTCCAAAGTCACACCCAAGCTGCGAACCTGCGTCTTCAGGGGGAGTGCGACCCCATCCAGCACAGGCTGTAACCCTATGCCCCGTTCGGCCTTTTGACTGACCAGGAGTACCTCTGTCTTGTCTGGATTCAATTTCAATTTGTTCGCCCTCATCCAGACCGTCACAGCAGCCAGGCACCGGTTCAGGACCTCGACAGCCTCCTTAGTAGCAGGTGGAAAGGAGTGACAGAGTTGGACATCATCTGCGTACAGATGACACCGTACTCCGAAACTCCGGATGATCTCTCCCAGCGGCTTCATGTTGATGTTAAACAACATGGGGGACAATATTGAGCCCTGAGGAACCCCACAAGACAAAGGTTGTGGGGTTGAACAGGTGTCTCCCAGTAACACCTTCTGGGATCTACTGCCTTTAAATCTGTGGGCTGCAGTCCAGCAGTGGGCTGTCAGAACAAAAATTTGGTCCATGAACCTCCTTCTTCTTTATTTATTTTTAATTTATTTTAATTTATTTTTATTTCCACAGAGCTAACTATCTCCACCCCTTTTGGTACTAATGTTGGAGAGTGGTCCCTGGTCAAAAAAGGTTGGAAACCACTGTTTTAAATGATATTATATAGTCACATTTGTACTTTTTGCCAAAATTCTATTAATTCGTTAATCCCACAGTTGACAGATAGGGGTTTTTTTTTTAATACTACAGATTCTTCCATCGCTGAAGCACTGTTTTTGTGTGTGATAAGAAAATCTTTATGCATCCCATCAGGGCAGTCTCATTTACTGTTTTGATTTTAGAGTTTTAATACTAGTAGCCAGATTTTGTTAATTTTCATGGTTTCCTCCTTTCTGTTGAAATTGTCTTATCCCCGAGAGTGCCAACCCCTCTGTGGGTGTGTCACTTCCTCTTTCACCCTCTGGAGCAGGTATGGGCAAACCCAGGCCCCGGGGTTGGGGAGGAGGCTGGATGTGGCCCCTTGGGCTCATTTTTCAGGCCCTCCTTTCTCTCACCATTCTATCCTTCCATCCTTAGAATCATAGAATCATCCTTCTCTCTTTCCTTCATCCTTACCTCCCTCTTTCTCCTTCCTTCCTTTCCTCCCTTTCATCCCTTCCTTACCTCTTTCTCCTTCCTTCTTTCCTTCCTGCTTCTCTTCCACCCATTCATCCTTCCTTCCCTTTTGTCTTTTCTTCCTCCTTACCTTCTTTGTCTTCCTCTTCTCTTCCTTTCCTTCCTTCCCCTTTCTCTTCTTCCCTCCCTCCTTCTTTCTCCTTTCTCTTTTCTTTCCTCCTTCTCTTTCCCTCCCTTCTCTCCCCTTCCACCCTGTTCTTCATTCCCTTTCCTTGCTCCTTCCTCCTTCCATCCTCTTTTTCCTTCCTTCCCCTTTTCCTTCCTTCCCTCTTTCTCCTCCTTCCTCCTTTTGTCTTTCCTTCCCTCTTTCCCTCCTTCCCCGCCCTCCATTCCCTTCCACCCTTTTGTCCTTCCTTCGCTTTCCTTCCTTCTATCACCATGTGGCCAGTCCTAGCAGGGAGTGCTACTAGCATGTTGGAATGTTTGCCCACACTCTGGGATGTCACCCCCTCTTACTTACTTACCTAGGCGATCCCTTGTAGCTCGAGGATGATGGTTCTTCTGATGTGGCGTCTTGTTGGTGGGTCCGTAGGTGGCTGTGGAGCCCTTTTCTTGATCTGCATGTTCTCCTGCATGAGGACATCGGTTTCCCAATGGAAGGTGGTCCCAGTCAGGGTTGGCTTGATGCGCCTCCCTCTTAACACGTTTCTCCCTTTTGCTCTCCATTTGTGCCTCTTCGAATTCTGCAGCACAGCTAACCTCCAGCTAACCTCCAGTTAGAGTCACAGCTAACCTCCAGCTAACCTCCAGTTAGAGTGCTCAAGGGTTAGGGCTTCCCAGTTCTCGGTGTCTATGCCACATTTTTTAAGGTTGGCTTTAAGCCCATCTTTAAATCTCTTTTCCTGTCCACGAACATTATATTGGGTGATGGCCACTCGTTGGCCTGAGAGGTGTATTGTGTCCAAATTTGGTGTCAATTCGTCCAGTGGTTTCTGAGTTATGTTAATCCCACAAATGAACATTACATTTTTATTTATATAGAAGATATACATACTAGCCGTCCCCTGCCAGGCTTTACTGTGGCCCAGTCTGTGTATATGTTTGTGTGTGTATATATTTGTGTATATGTGTATATATGTGCTTTTGTGCATGCGTTGCAATGTAAGTGTTTTTGCTTTTTAAGTCTCATCCACTGTGTTTTTTAGTGTTTTTATGGGTGATGGTCACTCGTTGGACTGAGAGGTGTACTGTGTCCAAATTTGGCGGCAATTAGTCCAGTGGTTTTTGAGTTATGTTAACCCCACAAATGAACATTACCATTTTATTTATAAGACTAGCCGTCCCCTGCCATGTGTTGCTGTAGCCCTGTCAGTGTATATGTGTTTTGTGTGTGTATATATGTGTGTATATTTGTGTTTGCATATATATGTGTGTGGTTTTGTGCATGTGTTGCAATGTGGTTTTTTTTTTGCTTTTTAAGTCTCTTCAGCTGTGTTTTTCAGTGTTTTTATGACTGATGGTCACTCATTGACCTGAAAGGTGTCTTGCGTCCAAATTTGGTGTCAATTCATCCAGTGGTTTTTGAGTTATGTTAACCCCACAAACGAATATTACATTTTTATTTATATAGAAGATATATATACTAGCTGTCCCCTGCCACGCTTTGCTGTGGCCCCGACTGTGTATATGTTTGGGTGTGTATATGCGCGTATATGTGTGTATATATTTGTGTCTATATGTGTGTTTGTGTATATATGTGCTTTTGCGCATGCATTGTAATGTATTTTTTTGGCTGTTTAAGTCTCATCCACTGTGTTTTTTTTTTGGAGTTTTTATGGGTGATGGTCACTTGTTGGCCTGAGAGGTGTATTGTGTCCAAATTTGGTGCCAATTCGTCCAGTGGTTTTTTAGTTATGTTAATCCCACAAACGAACATTACATTTTTATTTATATAGAAGATATATATACTAGCTGTCCCCTGCCACGCGTTGCTGTGGCCCAGTCAGTGTATATGTGTTTTGTGTGTGTATATTTGTGTTTGCATATATATGTGTGTGTGGTTTTGTGCATGTGTTGTAATGTATTTTTTGTTTTTTGGCTTTTTAAGTCTCTTCTGTTGTTTTTCAGTGTTTTTATGACTGATGGTCACTCATTGGCCTGAAAGGTGTCTTGTGTCCAAATTTGGTGTCCATTCGTCCAATATATATATACCTGCCACGCTTTGCTGTGGACCAGTCTGTGTATATGTTTGTGTGTGTATATATGCGTATATGTGTGTGTATATATTTGTGTCTATATGTGTGTTTGTGTATATATGTGCTTTTGTGCATGCATTGTAATTTTTTTTTGCTTTGTAAGTCTCATCCACTGTGTTTTCTTTTAGTTTCTTTTAGTGGTGACTCGTTAGCCTGAGAGGTGTATTGTGTCCAAATTTGGTGACAATTCGTCCAGTGATTTTTGAGTTATGTTAATCCCACAAACAAACATTACATTTTTATTTATATAGAAGATATATATCCTAGCTGTCCCCTGCCACGCGTTGCTGTGACCCAGTCAGTGTATATGTGTTTTGTGTATGTTTTATTTATTTGTCGTGTCAGCACAACCGGTCAAATTATATTACATTTCTAACAGAACAAAACAAACAAACAGACAAAATACAAAATTTGTGAGTTTGGTAGTTGATTAAATGTCCTTTGACCAGTATCTGGCCACTTGGAGTGCGTCTGGTGTTGCTGCAAGAAGGTCCTCCATTGTGCATGTGGCTGGGCTCAGGTTGCATTGCAGCAGGTGGTCAGTGGTTTGTTCTTCTCTGCACTCGCATGCCGAGGATTCCACTTGGTAGCCCCATTTCTGAAGGTTGGATCTGCATCTCATGGTGCCAGAGCGCAGTCTGTTCAGCGCCTTCCAAGTCGCCCAGTCCTCTGTGTGCCCAGGGGGGAGTCTCTCATTTGGTATCAGCCATTGGTTGAGGCTCTGGGTTTGAGCCTGCCACTTTTGGACTCTCGCTTGCTGAGGTGTTTTGTGTATGTATATTTGTGTTTGCATATATATGTGTGTGGTTTTGTGCATGTGTTGTAATGTTTTGTCTTTTGGCTTTTAAAGTCTCTTCTGTTGTGTTTTTCAGTGTTTTTATGACTGATGGTCACTCATTGACCTGAAAGGTGACTTGTGTCCAAATTTGGTGTCAATTCGTCCAGTGGTTTTTGAGTTATGTTAATCCCACAAACGAACATTACATTTTTATTTATATAGAAAAGATAGATAGATAGATAGATAGATAGATAGATAGATAGATAGATAGATAGATAGATAGATAGATAACCAACACCCTCTCTGAGGGGGTCCCCCGGTGCAGCTCCCACTCCCACGTGGGCCTCTCCAGGCGACACCTAACACAGGTTGTCCTCTCCTCCAGCAACAGGTTGGCTCTCTCTGGCTTGGGAGGGGCCTACCCCTTTAAAAGCGACTTGCGCTCAGGTAAGTGGGCGGGGCCTCCCGCTTTGACCCCGCCCACCCTGCGTATGTCATGATGGATTAGCGGCGGCGGCGGGGAGCTCAGCGCCCGAGGATCAGACCCAGACGGGGAAGGAGGGGGAGGAGGAAGAGGAGGAGGAGGAGGAGGAAGAGGAAAAGAGCAAGTGGGGAGGGGGCGTCTCTCCCCTCCGCCGCGGCCAGGCAGAGCGAGTTCCCCTCCCAGCCAAGGCAAAGAGGGCGAAAGCGGAGGAGGAAGCCGTCCTTCCGTCGGGGCCGGGAGGCCACTTCCTGGAGGGGAGTTTCACCCGGGTCCACCTGCAGAAAAACAGGAGGAGGAGGAGGAGAGGAGGCACACACCTGTCCAAAATGAAGGACCGGCTGGAGCAGCTCAAGGCGGTGAGCAAGCGCCCTGCATCCACTTCCCTCTTTCCCTTCCTTCCTTCCTTCTACACTGGGGAATTAACGCACTTTGACACCGCTTTAACTGCCCTAACTCTACTCTGGGACCCTAAGAGTCTTTCTCCTTCTCTGCCAAAGAGTGTTGGCGCCTCACCAAACTACAACTCCCAGGATTCCTCATAGCATTGGGGTGTCAAACTGTATTAATCCCAACCATAGGGACTGTGAAGGGAAAGGGCCCACTTTGGAATAGTGTGGCTTGAGTTGACTTTGGTGGGAATCCATAGGCTGGGTCCTTAAGGTAAAAGTCACCCCCTAAATTTGGAAAATAATAATATAGAATGTGGGCCAGGGGTTGGAATAGGCTTCCACAGCTCTGTAGTTTCCAAACCTGCCAATAGTGGCTGGCAAAGTGAAGGTGGGACTGTTTAGTAATGCTATAATGCAGGTGTGGGCCAACTTGGGTCCTGCAGGTGTTTTGGACTCCAACTCCCACCATTCCTAACAGCCTCAGGCCCTTTCCTTTTCCCCCTCCGCCGCTTAAGCGGCCAAATCAACCGGCTGAGGCTGTTAGGAATGGTGGGAGTTGGAGTCCAAAACACCTGCAGGACCCAAATTTGCCCATACCTGCCATAAAGGATCTGAGAATATGTCCATTGGGGAACCACATGCACACCTTGCAATGTGGCACTGTGTCCAAAATAATAAAACCATATGAAGATGGCTAGGAGGGAGTCTCTCTTTCCCGCCACTTTTCCCCCCACCAAGATCAGTAGAGTTGGCAACTTCCTCTTTTTGGCTTCCCGCCTCCTGTCACTTTTATTTCTTTTCCTTCCTTGGTGCACTCTGATATGTGCCTGCAGACATTATCTATATAAGATGTCACAAGAGCATTAGGCCCAACCAGGGCTGAAGTGCTGGTTTCATATCCTCTCTCACATAACATTTATGGCTCAGTTGACTTGGAGCTGCCCCTCCCCTTGTTCTTCAATCCTCAGTGCAGAACATAATGTTCAGTCTCTCAGCTTGTGGTCACTTCTGAAGGTGCAGCTACACTGTAGAATTAATGCAGCTTCACACAACTTTTAACTGACATGATTCAATGCTAAGGAATCATGGGAGTTGGAGCTTTGCATGCTTTTACTCTTGGGCCCTTCCACACAGTCCTATATCCCAGAATGTGAAGGCACGAAATCCCACAATATCTGAGTGTGGACTCAGGGCCCTTCCATACAGCCCTATATCCCAGAATATCAAGGCAGGAAATCCCACATTATCTGAGTGTCAGCTCGGGGCCCTTCCATACACCCCTATATCCCAGAATATCACGGCAGGAATTTTATTTATTTACTACTAGCCGTCCCCTGCCACACGTTGCTGTGGCCCAGTCTGTGTATATGTGTTTTGTGTGTGTGCATGTGTGTGGGTGCATATTTTTGCGTTTATATGTGTGTGTGCGGTTTTGTGAATTCATTGTAATGTTTTTTTTTGCTTTTAAGTCTCTTCTGGTGTGTTTTTCAGTGTTTTTATGAGTGATGGTCACTTGTTGGCCTGATACATGTATTCTGTCCAAATTTGGTGTCAATTCGTCCAGTGATTTTTGAATTATGCTAATCCCACAAATGAATATTACATTTTTTTATTTATACCTAGCTGTCCCCTGCTACGTGTTACTGTAGCCCTGTATGTGTGTTTTGTGTGTATATGTGTGTGTGTGTGTATATATTTGTGTATATATGTGGTTTTGCACATGCGTTGTAAAGTAATTTTGTTTTTTGGTTTTTTAAGTCTCTTCTGTGTTTTTCGGTGTTTTTATAAGTGATGGTCACTCGTTGGACTGATAGGTGTATTCTGTCCGAATTTGGTGTCAATTCATCCAGTGGTTTTTGATGTTAATCCCACAAATGAACATTACATTTTTATTTATATAGATATTTGTATACCAACCTTCATAGCCCTTAGGTGACTCACTTCTGAAGATGTAGCTACACTGTGAAATTAATGCAGCTTCACACCACTTTTAGCTGACACAATTCAATGCTAAGGAATAATTGAGTGAATATCTGAGTGTAGGCTCGGGACCTTTCCACACAGCCCTATATCCCAGAATATCAAGACAGAAAATCTCACAATATCTGCTTTGAACTGGGTTATCTGAGTCCAGACTCAGATAATGTGGGATTTTCTGCCTTATATTCTGGGGTATAGGGCTGTGTGGAAGGGCCCTCGGATGACCCAGGGCCCTTCCGCACTGTCATATAACCCAGAATATCAAGCCAAGAAATCCCACAATATCTGCTTTGAACTGGATAATCTGAGTCCACACTGCCATATATTCCAGTTCAAAGCAGACAATGTGGCATTTTATTCAGCTGTGTGGAAGTTGTTCCAGTTCAAAGCAGATATTGTGGGATTTTCTGCCTTGATATTCTGGGTTATATGGCTGTGTGGAAGGGCCCGTAGACACTTGGAAAATGGACTGGCCTAACAAACAGTCAGAGGCAGAAGAATGAGTCTGGCGCGCGGGGCAGCGCCCGCAGCCCCCCCCCCTTCTCTGTCAAAGTTCCTAGCTAAAGTAGAACGACCAGGATTCCGTAGTAGTAGTAGTAGTAGTAGTAGCCTTGGCAGTTAAAGTGGTGTCAAACTGCATTAATTCTACAGTGTAGATGTACCTTGAAATCAACTCTTTAGTGCTTCTTGGGCCCCTTCCACAAAGCTAAATAAAATCCCACATCTGCTTTGAACTGCGATTTATGGCATTGTGGACTCAGGGCCCTTTCACACAGCCCTATATCCCAGAATGTCAAGGCAGAAAATCCCACATTATCTGAGTGTGGACTAAGATAACCCAGTTCAAAGGAGATATTGTGGGATTTTCTTCCTTGATATTCTGGGGGCCCTTCCACACAGCCCTATATCCCAGAATATCTTCTTTGTACTAGGTTATCTGAGTCCACACTGTCATATATTCCAGTTCAAAGCAGAAATCGTGGGCTTTTATTCAGCTGTGTGGAAGAGTCCTCAGATAACCCAGTTCAAAGCTGATATTGTGGGATTTTCTGCCTTGATAGTCTGGGTTATATGACTGTGTGGAAGGGCCCTTAGTTTTCATCTGAAATCCGTCATTTTTAAAAGGAGGAAAAACACAAGTGTCTGGCCTGTAAGACAAGTTTGCTTATGCGTCTCCTGAAGTACATCTTTATTGAGTGCATCATCATGGTGTGACGTGATATGCAGATGGCATAAACACAGCTTCTCACAGTTTTTATTGCCAGAGAGTGTTAGTAGTTCAGCATGTGCCAGACTTGGCAAAGGCCTAGGCATGCTACTTCTTTCATATTTGCTGACTTCAAGGTGATGACCTGCTTCACACTCCTACACCTAGCTCTTTTCTTTTTCTCAGTGTAAATAACTTGTGTTACTTTATTTATACCCCTCTCTTCTCACCTTGAAGGGGATTCAGTGCGGCTTTACAAACTACGGCAAAAATTCAGTGCCTCATTTTGCACATAACAAAAACATAGCACATTAAATTATAAAACAATTAAAACATATAAACAGTTAAAACATATAAAACACAGTAAAATAGTTAAAAAACATAAACAGTTCTGAGTCATTATTTCCAAACATCCAGTTTTCCATGGTCATTATCTGGACTGCAAAGTTAAGAGTCAAATTCCACGTTACCCTATTCTTTGAATGCTTGAGCACAAAGCCAGGTCTTTAGCTTTTTACCTGAAGACCAGGAAGAATGGGGTCAATCTAATTATTTATTTATTTTATTTACTTTGCTTATATACCGCTGTTCTCAGCCCGAAGTCGACTCACAGTGGTGTACAACATAGAAACAGGTTCAAATTCAAGACACAATCTAAAATAATCAATCTAGCATTAACCAAAAACATCGTCATCAAAAACATCATCAATAATACAAAAGCCATTCCACGTCGTCTCATCGTCTAAACCACAATCCAGTATCATTTTCCATTGTTCCATTCCTGTCGTCATTACCAATTATTGCACTTCTTGTTCGAACGCCTTCTTGAACAGCCAGGTCTTTATTTTCCTGCGGAATATTAACAGGGAAGGAGCCTGTCTGATGTCCACGGGAAGGGTGTTCCACAGTCGAGGAGCCACCACCGAGAAGGCCCTATCTCTCGTCCCCGCCAGGCGTGCCTGTGAAGCAGGCGGGATCGAGAGCAGGGCCTCCCCGGACGATCTCAAAGTCCTGGTGGGCTCGTAGGTCGAGATGCGGTCGTAAAGGTATCTTGGGCCAGAACCGTTTAGGGCTTTATAGGCCAACGCCAGCACCTTGAATTGAGCCCAGTAGCAAATGGGCAGCCAGTGGAGCTGGTACAATGTCACTAGGGAGGGAGTTCCACAGCTGAGGGGCCACCACTGAGAAGGCCCTGTCTCTCATCCCCACCAGTTGCACTTGGGAAGTGGGGTGGAACCAAGAGCAGGACCTCCCCAGTAGATCTTAAAGCTCATAAAGGGAGATATGTTTGGACAGGTAAGTTGGATCAGTACCATTTAGGGCTTTATAGACCAAAGCCAGCACTTTGAATTGGGCCGGGAAGCAAACTGGCACAATGATTAGTTGCTGTTTAAATACAGAAGCTATTTCTGTTGTATGGATTCTTGTTTTATGGGACAAGGAAGACTCCTTGTTGGCTGGGACGAAATAGTTGCCTAATGTCAAGGAAGAATGGTGTGGAAATTGTGGCCATAGAACTCACTTCTTGTTCTTTCTGATCAAAGGAGGGTATGGTAAAGTTTAGCAAGAAATAAATATGGAAAGAGAAAGCTTAGGAAAGTTATTTCTGAACTCTTAAATCTTAATTGTATAGCAATTTGGTGATGCATAACCTAAAGCATTTTTCAGATTCAGTTAAAATGGAGATATAATGTGAATCAACTAGTGACAAGTTCAGCTAAAGAGTGCTCCCAGGTAGCAGGTTCAAAAGACATTGTGCTGCTATACTGCCTTTTTCCTT